GCAGGAAGAGGACGAAGGTTATTAGCTCACATCTCTGTGGAAGCTCATTGCGGTTACAAACAAATGTACGACTTCCAGATGTGCTCGAATTTTGTTGACAAAACTGCCAATCCTGACCGCATGAACCTAAGCATGGTGCGTTCTAACCATCTTGGAGCTATACTGCCGTTCTGCCAGCAGATGGCGCATCATCTGTAAGGGGCGGTATGGGGGCTGGCACAGCAGGAAAACAATTTTTTAAACCTGCTCTGAAAATATATAATGCAGTTAATGGGAGAGGAAAATGATGTAATTATAATCTCAAAAATTAAAAAAATATGTATTTTAAAACCTGCAACTAGTGTTAAGAATAAAATACAACCATTATTTGTAACAAGTCATTTCAAACAAATCAAACAAACCAAATAACAAAAAGTCACATGGAAAATTCTAAGCAGCTCAAATGAACAAATACACCATTAAGCACAAACCATTTCTTCTAGAACTACTTAGCACAATGTTGAGGTAAATTCTCATTAAAAAAAAAAAAAGTACGCTTGATGTCAAACGCCTTTAATCCCAGCCCTCAAGGGGCAGAGGCAGCAGATTCTGTAAGTTCAAAGCCATCTGGTCTACAGAGCAAGCGCCAGGGTATAACTCTTTCTCCAAAAAATATTTTGTCAGCTATGGCAAGATGAACAAACAGAAAGACAAAGACATAACAACTCTCTGAGCAACCACAAGCACTGCTTCTGGAGGGGTAAAACTCAGCCCATTATTGGAAGGACAGCAGGCAGAGATAAAATCACCACCGCTTGACAGGTTTCTTCAGGCCCCTGGGAGTGTACCGCTGAAGAAACATGTGCGTCCACCTCAGTCTTCCTCCTCATCAGGCTATGCCAAGAAACTGGACTAACCCTAGAAATCGATCCCACAGGAGGAGGGACTTGTCTGAGGGTAGGGAAAGGGATCTCTCACCGTTCTGACATCTTGTCTGACCGCCTTGCAAAGAGACTTCCACCAAGACAGGGAAGGGTCAGTGCTGGATGGACCCATCCTTCTGCCAGGATGGCTTAGCTGCGCATGACTACTTATACCTAAACTTCATGTCGGGACACCCATTAAGGACCCAGGTCAGTGCATCCTCTTGTCCTATGTCCCAACACTGCCACATTGAATAAATCTTTTTCTACTTTTCACTATCAAGTCTGTCTTTAATATGCTTTGAAGATGCATTACTAAGCCTGCTTTGTTGGGCTGCTAAGGCACTAGCCTAATAGCTCCAGAACATAAAAGTATATATCAAGAATGAGCAGAAGAGGGCTGGGGAGGTGGCTCAGTGGTTAAGAGCCCTGACTGCTCTTCTAGAAGACCCAGGTTCAATTTCTGCAGTTCCCGTGGCAACTCACAGCCATCTGCAACTCCAATCCCAGGGATCTAACACCCTATTCTGGCTTCCACAGACACTGCATGCATTTGGTGCACAAACATACATGCAAGCAAAACACCCATACACATTAAAAAAATACAATGGAAAAAACCCTCTAAAACATTTCCTCCCAATGGCTATTCCCTGGCATTTAAATTTTTCTGTTCAGAGCAAGTGCGTCCACATTCACCCGCTTGGCCATGATCTCTGTGAGGTATGCTGAGTGGCCACCCTGTCAAGCTGTACTCAGGATGGAACTCAGGATGGAACAGCCCCTTGCTGTGCAACCCACTCTTGCCCAAGGGTTTGTGCACCACAGGACTTGCAAAAGTCTTGAGCTCCAGGGGTCCTGTCAAGCTTTGGAGCAAGAAATCCTCCAGCACACAGTGGAAATAGTTAGGAGGGACCTGGTTATAACAACAGAAAGCAGCTGTGTCCTTTTCAGACAAAGGGAGGAAGGACAGCGAAGCTCAAGAACACAGAAGTCACAGGCAGTGCCTTTCCTTGTTGGCATCATTCTACCAGGCAGTCTCTCAGCCCTCATCGAATCTGCCTGATGGCATGGCTCTCCTCATGCTCAGGACAGGCATGATGGGCACTATTTCTCCCATACCCACGGCTTTGGTACCTTGGCATCCAAGTATTTGCCAAATAGACTCCCAACATCATCAAAAAACTAATTTCATTAGGAGATCCACGCCAATATTTTTATAAAATTTTGAGTATCACCAGCTTTCAAAGAAATGAGTTCCTTTACTGCAAGGGCGCCTGTCCATCCTTGGCCACCTGACCCTTGGTTTCGGGGGTAGGGGATGCTCAGAGCTACCTAGGAACAAGGTTCATGATTCTTTGCCCTACGAGCAAGTCTACCTTTTCCTCGAAGGTTGGTGCGACCTTCACCTCCTCATCTCTGGATCTTCGGCGCCTTTATCTCCTGACAGCATCTGTTAATAGCTGTATGTGGCAAGGCGCAGGCATAGGTAGCTGAGGGGAGCTGTAGCAAGCAGAAGACCAGGGACAAGAGAAGGAGTTCTCAGGGGACCTAGAGGGTGGGTGGCCAAGCCTGACTAGTCATTGCCACCAGGACAAAGGCTCTGGCTTTGGTAACCTCAGTGACAGCTGTCAAGCCAGCCTGGAGGAAAGACACATTTTGAGTGGCAGCCACTGGCAGCAAGCTGACCCCAGATGGAGTTGAACTGCCCCAAACAGCTTCTAGAATTGCTTTTTTTCCAGGGATTTTTTTAAAGCCTCCAGTTTCAGCCAGCATCATCTGCTCTGTTAGGTAAAGCAGAGAAGCGAGCATTTGGACTTCGTTTTGAATATTTTAGGAAGCTTGACCCCTTACCACATCTTTCCCCAGTTGGGCTTTGGCTTTCCTTTGGGTCAGAGCGCTTTTGTGCACTTTGGGTGCTGTCTAAACCATTTTTGGTGACTGCCACGTGGTGATTAGCTTTATCTTTCCTAGTTCATCTGAGCCATTTGAGTTTTGTAGAGCTAAGTTTGGGCGTCTGGTATGGGACAGAAGCAGCCGGGGGAGGTTTGCTCAGAGCACTGTGCTTCTCCGAGTCATCATATTAGATCACGGGCATGCCTTTGGAAGACACTGGAGCCCTAAGCTGGCCAAATCTCACGGGCTGAAAAACTCAGACCACGCCCCCCTGCAGCTCTCTGCCCGAAATCGGACTCATTTCTCAGAGTCTCATGATAATGACTGAAAAGCTGTGACTTTTACTTCTTGCTAGATTTAGTCCACTTTATGCAACGGGGACCAAACAGCGTTTACTGTTACCGTCTTCCTTGACCACTTTTTATGGCATAGCTCATGTCATGTCTCCAAAATCGAGTGTGAAGAAGTCATACTGTGCTACAATTTTTTTTTTACATCCCCTAATTTATGGTCTTCCCCCATACCTGGCTCTTCCATGCTAAGGAAGGCTATCCCAGACCAAATAGTCAGGTAGGCTATCCCAGACTAAATCCCACGGTGTGAAATTTACCACCACCCACTTGGGGGGGGGGGTGTTTTCTCGCAACTCTGTTCTGCAACCCTGCACCATCCTGGCCACAATAACTCTTGTGTTTTAAGCTATCTTTTCATGGTGCTCCACTCGAGTTTGGAAGGGCAGCCTCTCCTTCCCTTTCAGGCCCGTCATGTCCTCTGATATAACATACTGCTGATTTGATGGAGACCTTCTCTCCCGCTAAAGCTCATTCCTGAAGGGTTATTTGTTGGCCGCTCCTTTCCCAAGCCAACCCCCTGCACCCCTTCCTTAACACATTTGAGAGAGAGAAATGAGAGTTTAGAGGACATTTCTGTTGCAGTGATGTAAACATGAAAAATATTAAGCCTACTCTCTTAGTGCCCCCTAGAAAAAATTCTGACTAGCCTTTGATAATCTATGCTAATTTCTAAAGCAACATGGGGCCAAGCCAATCTTGCCCACAGATAACTTACTACTCAACCCAGGCCACCTGATTTGTGAATTTTTCTTTATCTGCATACTAAAATTTCCATTCTCAGTGTGTCTGTTTGAAAGGCGTATGTGTGTAAGCATGTGTATATATGTTTAAGTGTGAGTCTTTGGGAGACAGTTTTGGACAGTTAATAAATTGCAACTACTGTCTTTATATTGTTCTCTCTCTCTAAAAACGTGGTGAGTGAAAATGGGTGAATTTAGAAACTAAAATGAAAACCGGCTTTATAGGATTTGACTTCAAGCAGGCCTATCTGAATTGTCATCTAATTGAAACACTGGTTTTGTGTCTGCTTCGTTGTGAAATGGATTCGGTCTGGTGCTGATAACTCTGGAAACTATACAGTTTTGTCCAAACAGCTCTATTTGCAACTGTTCATTGGTCTGCTTTGAGGCCCCTGGTCTCCACTACACAATCGATGCAAGACCCTCACTAAGACTCTTCCTGGACATCTCTGTTGCTGCCCTGTGCTGTGGAGATCTGCAGCTTTGGGTCTGCGGGTCAGGCTCAAGCAGATCATAGATGGGGTGAATGTTGGGGCACGCCAAGTCGTAACCCTCTGTCTGGGCCTGGGCAGCTTTAGGGTTGGTCTGCCAGATGGGAAGTGGGGACAGCTCTCCCATTGCCAGAGTTCCGCCGCTGGCTCTGCCACATCTGCACTAACGGTGTTGACTCTATAATGCTGCCCTGGCAAGGTGCCGTGCCTGCTCCCCCAAGCGCTGCAGCTGGTGGGGGTCAGGGATGGCTCTCCCACTCCTATGACCGCAGGGCCATCAGTCCCACCTGCCCCGGGTGTTGATTTAGGGGGAGGGTATCTCTCCCCAGTCCATGTTGCTATGTTGCAGATGGGGGTGGGGTTAGGTTGCCGGTGCTCCCATCCTCAGAGTTTGCTTGCCTGTGCTCTTACCAACAGGATCATCTCTGCTGTGCTGCCCAGGCCAAGTGCAGGGCTCACTTCCCCGCGTGTGGCTGCTGATCGTGGGGTCAGCTCCTCCACCGTGCCAGCCCGCTCCCTAGCTCTCTAATTTCTTCAGATCTGCCTCTGTCCATAGGACCTGAACCATTCTGTCTGTCTGTCTCTCTCCCATAACACACCATATCGTACCTCTGTCCATAGGACCTGAACCATTCGTACCTCTGTCCACTCTGGAGCTACAAGGCACCAGGTAGGTCCATGTTTTCTCCTCGGTGCCCAGGGTGGGCAGCTCCAGGCCTGGGCGTGGGTCTCCCCATCTCACTCAAGTCGCTGTGACTCTGGGTGGGACCAGGCTTCCACATCACAGGGAGATTATTATAGGACCCAGGTCCTCAAACCACTGAGTCATCTCTCCAGCCCAAGGAATGTTGACCTTTTTCTTATTCCCTTACCCCTACCTTTTACGGCCTCATCTGCTGCATCTTTGAGCCTATTGCTCCTAAGTGCTATAACTACCTCAAACAAGGTTAATGGGTGGTATCTTTGATGGAGGAAGGTCATTGGTTAAAAAAAAATAAAGAAACTGCTTGGCTGGCCCTCATAGGTTAAAACATAGGTGGGAGGAGTAAACAGAACAGACTGCTGGGAGGAAGAGGAAGTGAGCTCAGACTCCACAGCTCTCCTCTCAGGGGCAGATGCCTCAGAGAGACGCCATGCTCCCGGCTCCTGGGCAGACACACGCGATGAAGCTCCGACCCAGGATGGATGTAGGCTAGAATCTTCCCGGTAAGCGCACCTAGCTGTGCTACATAGAATATTAGAAATGGGCTAGTCCAGGTGTGAGAGTTAGCCTAGAAGAGGCTAGATAGAAATGGGCCAAGCAGTGTTTAAATGAATACAGTTTGTGTGTTGTTATTTCGGGCATAAGCTAGCAGGCGGCTGGGGTGTTGGGGATGCAGCCCTGCCGCTCGTACCACTACATATCTTTATCCGAAGACTTTTACTTGGGGCTTATCTTGTGAATTTCCTAGAAGATTTACTCTGACTCGACTTCCCAGCTCCTTCTGATATTAAGACTTCTCCATTAGTACATAATCTATTTTTAAAAGGGGGCAGTAACCTCATTGTCAGCTCCTCTCATATTACAATAAAAAGGCACACATTCAACCCTGCAAAAGTCACTACCTCAGTACCTTCATTGATCCCTAAGCTAACTGGGCCCCTGTCTTTCCTAGGCCTGCTGGTGAGGATGTCCCAGCGCTCTACCTGACAACTAGCTTTGTCTCTTGTGGTCGGCTTGACAATGGGAGCAAATATGGAAACTCCTCCCAGCTTCTGCCACGGGCCTCTAGATCAGCGGCCAGCCTTTGCCATCGTTCCCAAGCAACAAGCAGCAGCCAGACAGGTATCACCCCTGTCTGTAGGAGTTCTCTCAAGTGAGCAATGTTAGACAGGAGTTAGCTAGATGAAAGGAGTTAAGTGGAAGGCACATGAGGGACCATTCCCTCCACCCTTTTTTTTTTTTTTTTGGTTTTTTGAGACAGGGTTTCTCTGTAGCTTTGGAGCCTGTCCTGGAACTAGCTCTTAAAGACCAGGCTGGCCTCAAACTCACAGAGATTCACCTGCCTCTGCCTCCCGAGTGCTGGGATTAAAGTCGTGCACCACCACTGCCCGGCTTCCCCTATTTTTTTTTTATACATAGAGCATAGTCATCTCTCTGGTTGTATCCAGGGAACATGCATAGGGCATGCAGACTCCTCAGGATGTGCTCGAAAGTGACTATCTTACTGAGGGCTTCTGTTGCTGTGAAGAGACACCGTGACCACAGCAACTCTTATGAGAGAAACACATTTAATTAGGGTGGCTTATATTCTCAGAGGTTTAGCTTATGATCATCGTGGTGCAACAGGGTAGCATGCAGGCAGACATGGTGCTGGTGATGAAAACCCTACATTTTGATAGACAGGCACTAGGAAGTGGTCTGTTACACTGGGTGGGATCTTGAGTGTAGGAGATCTCAAAGCTCACCCCCATAATGAGACACTTCCTCCACCCCTACTCGAATGAGGCCTCACCTCCTAATAGTGCCACTTCCTTTGGGGGCCATTCTCTTTCAAACCACCACAGTGACCAATCTTCATAACACAAAGAAAAAAGAAAGGAAGAAAAGAAGAAAGAAAGAAAGAAAGAAAGAAAGAAGGAAGAAAATGTGAAATTGGTGTTTCCTTAAGAAAAGCTGGACAAACTATACATGTGTGTTTCTACAACACGGAAACATCATGTCTGAACCCTGGATCCTCACTTAGGGTGCTGTGGTGGTTTGAATGAGAACCTCCCTAGGCTCATGTGTTTGAATGCTCGGTCCCAGTTGGTAGAATTATTTTGGAAAGATTAGAAGGTATGACCTTGCTAGAGGAAGTATGTCACTAGGGCCATGCTTGGAGAGCAAAAGAGACACACCTGACTCTCTGCCTCCTGATTGCAATTCAAGATGTGAGCTCTCAGCTGCTGCCCCAGCCCACCATGGACTCCAACCCTCTGAAGTTTACATCCAAAATAAATTCTTTCTCCTGTAAGTTGCCTTGGTCATGGTGTTTCATCACAGCGATAGAAAAATGACCAGTACGGCTGTCCTTACACGTCTTTGACTGTTTGAGGTAGGAGTGAAGGTCAGTGTATGTGAGAAACCCTGACTCTGGAACCGGATTGCAGCCTCAGGCAGGAATTGAGCAAGAATTCTAGCACAATTATCTGCTGCCAAAGGCCTTTCTGCCCTTGAGCTGTAAAATTGCCACAAACCTGCACTTTTCTAGAACTCTCACCAGAGACCCGCCCGCCTCCTGGGAAAGGACGCGCCAAGCCCCTTGTGCGGCACTGGTGTCTTCGGCTTTCACTTAGTAAGGTTGTCAGTTCAGTTCTTCCAGGACAGCTCCGGAACCACGTCCCAGGAGAGGAGAGAAAAGACTTCTTAGCAGACTTTTGAGGTTTGAGAGTCACTGCCAGGATGTATGCAGCTGCTATGACAAGGGATCCCTCAAGGAGATCGCGCCGTGCTTGGGAAAGCCTTCCTTTCTCACCTGCTCTCACTTGGGGTTCGTGCGTCATCCTTTGCTCTATGCTGAGTCCTCGCATAGCTTCAGGAACTTGGACCTGATTCAGGGTGGTAAGGAATGAAAGAAAAAAAGAATGACGAACACAGACAAACACACAGAGAAGCTGGGATCAGGTGGTCTGGATTTTCTGATAAAACCAGACTAACCTGGAGGCTCAGTGTGTTCCTTACATAGAGTTGAACAGAGAATAGGGTTATTGCATACAGCCAAATAAGAAGGCAGGCTTTATGGTATGCAGAAGTAAAGTCTAGCTAATCTAAGGTGGGAGCAGAGCGGTCTCTGTGGGGGAGCAGCGTTCAGACTGGAGTCGAGAGGGAGAAAGCTATGGGGGGCATTTTCTGTACATGCTGTGAACATCCATACAAACATCAACAAAAGCCTTTGCCATCCCTCTGAGCCTCGTGGCAGGAGGGGGTAGGGTAGGGGGACATTTCCCCATGAGTCTTGGTCACGCACATATCCACAGCATACGTTCTCTCAGGACTTCACTCACTTGGGGCTTGAGGGTTAAGAGAAAGACACTTGGAAGTGTAGGAGCCAAGGAAGCCTATACTCAAGGATCTTTTGTAGGGACTGGAGAGAAGGCTCCCAGGTAAAGAGGGTGCTCACTGCTCCTGCAGTGGGGGTGGAGAGAGGGCTCCCAGGTAAAGAGGGTGCTCACTGCTCCTGCAGTGGGGGTGGAGAGAGGGCTCCCAGGTAAAGAGGGTGCTCACTGCTCCTGCAGTGGGGGTGGAGGGAGGGCTCCCAAGTAAAGAACATGCTAACTGCTCCTGCAGTGGGGGTGGAGGGAGGGCTCTCAGGTAAAGAGCATGCTCACTGCTCCTGCAGAGGACTCAGTCTTGGTTCCCAGCACCCACATGAAAAGTCACAACCAGGTGCAACTCCAGTTCCAGGGAATCCAAGGTCGTCTTCTGATCTCCCCAGGCACCAGGGATGTACATGAATACATGCAGGTAAAATACCTGTCCACATAGAATAAATAAATCTTTAAAATATACATATCTTTAAAAACTTTCAAACCCTTAATGCTGGTTAGTCCTGAAATTCAGCACCAAGCCATAAATCTCTAGGTCCCTAAAATCTAGGGCAATGGTTCTCAACCTGTGGGTCACGACTCCTTTGGCAAGCCTAAGCCTCTCTCTCCACAACTATTCACATTACAGCTCATAACAGTAGCAAAATCACAGTTATGAAGTGTCAGTGAACATGATTTTGTGGTCAGGGTCATCAAACATGAGGAACTGTATTAAACATTAGCAGCGTTAGGAAGGTTGAGAACCACTGGTCTAGGGGAAGTCCCTGGGCTCCTGTCGATGGAGTTGTATCCTTGTCTCTTCAGCAATGACACTTGAAAAATATTTTTTTTGTTTATCTGCACTTCACTGTGTCTTTTGGTTTGCTGAGGACAAGCTGTTAAGACCGGCTTATCAGAGGTGCCAGGAACCAGGCTCGCCCCCTAGTGGCTGTGTAAATGCAAAGTCAAGAATTACCAGACAGGTTGCTGGACATAGGCCTTAGTGGGAAGGGTGTGGGCATCTATGAAAGAAACCCCGTGGTTCCATCCCCAGAATCAGAGAACGTGGGCAAAGTGGCACACCTCAGGGTCTCAGCACTTGGTAGGTAGGGGCAGAAGGATCAGGAAGCCAAAATCATCCACAGCTACATAGACACATTTCTCGTTCAAGGCCAGGCTAGGCTCCATAGGGCCCTGTCATAAAAAAAGAATTGACTGAGGAATAAAATGAACAACAGAGCCCCCCGACCTGAGCAAATTAAACATAATAAACCTTTAAACAGTGAACAGGGGAAAAAACCATTTCTTTAAAAAGAGAATTAACAGGAAAAAAATATCCTTTAAGTACTAAGGAATTGATAGTAGAGAACAAACTGGTACACTTATACTGTCAGAATGATTTATTAAGCTTCCAAATTTCATGCCTGGGATACAAGAAGATTGCACCAAAAACTCTTTAGTCAAGTACCAGGTCCATACTGAAAACTATGTCATCAAGTCTCCATGCCCACGATTTGCTACGAAATCAGCGTGTCCAATCTATTACCCCTAAAAACACAAAATAAGATACTGTGTTAGTACAGATATGACCGAGGGGACCGGAAAGACTCTGAATGGTTAAAAGCTATTCTGCCAGAGGACCTGTTTTGGATTCCCAGCACCCATATGGCATTCACACGGCTATAACCACAGTTCCAGGAAACCCAAAGGCCTCTTCTAGCCCCCATGGAACCCAGGGATACACATGGTACTGACATATATGTGGGAAAAACATCCACACATACCCTAATTAAATTATGCATGTATATGTACACAACTATATCCAACTAATATTAAAAATAGTTCAGCAATGATTGCACACAAAAATATGCGTGTGGAGCCAGTCCACCTTTCAAAGAAAGTGACTAACAGAGGTCAACTCCCACTTCCACCCCAGAGGAACCAACCTCCCAAGAGAGTCCCCAAAGCAAAGTCAGGAAGGGCTGGCAAGGCAAGAGATTTAGGAGTTGACCTATTTGAGTTTAGAAGAATCACCCAAGCCGGGCAGTGGTGGCACATGCTTTTAATCCCAGCACTTGAGAGGCAGATGCAGGTGGATCTCTGTGAGTTTGAAGCCAGTCTGGTCTATGAAGCAAGTTCCAGGATACCCAGAGATGTTACACACAGAGAAAGCCTGTCTCAAAAAAGAAAAGGGAGGAAGGGAGGAAGGAAGGAAGGAAGGAAAGAAAGAAAGAAAGAAAGAAAGAAAGAAAGAATCACCTGATCCCAGGCACTTTAAAATTTCCTTCTGGAACAAGCATCATCCACATCCATTCCTCCCTGTGACCTCAGTGTGAGAAGCCACCCTGCCACTGTCACAGCACTGTATCCATCCACTGAATGAGCTGTTTTCTTCATCAAAGCTGCTGGAGCCCTGACTTTGTGTGGGATAGCAATGGGTCGATGCAACAGACCTGTGGCCACCCCCCTAAGGCATACTTCTCGCCTGATGATATAGGCAGTGGTCTCAGCTTCTTTCTTTTTTTTTCACCCCGCTGGGTTTTCTAAGCGCTCCATCACTTCAAGCTAAAAGTCAGGACAGGGAGCTGCTTCAGCTTGAAGTGGTCCAGGACTCCACCCACTACAGTGCGCCTGGTGTATCCATCCACTCCCTGCTCCTGAATGGCAACAAAGCACTGGCCTGCTCCAAATGCAGAAGCAACCAAGCCCCAGCAGCCAAGCCCTTGGTCTGGAGACTCGCCAGCGCCACGTTGTCAGTCCGAAGGCCTCAGAGTGGCCAAGCAGGCCTGATTCTCTCTAGTCTGCTCCGGGAGAGACCAGTGAACAGCTTAAACAACTCTGCCCTGTCCTGGCTGCGCTGCAGCCTTTGCTGAGACATCCACCACAGTACACAATCTGAGGGAGGGCCCAGAAGGAATGAGGAAAGCAAGCAAAAAGAGGTGCCAGCTCCATTGAGAGCCAAAGGCCTGAAACAGTGACTTTCATCAGGGTCTGAGAATTAAACTCATCTGAAGCCTTCCCAATAAATCAGAAGGATGGCTCTAAAGGGATGGACCCAAGGGGCCCGTGTCCTGTAGAGAGAGGGTCACAGACTGTCATTCCTAACAGTATCCTTCCACAAAAAGGGTCTGAAAATGCTGGCACAGGTCTCAAGGTCCAACTTCTGAGTAGGTGTCCTTTCCCTCAAAGGATTTCCCTCCAGACACTGGACCAAAGGATTTCCTATGGCGATAGTTCGCTTGTGTTATAACACGTAAAGCTTGCCTGAGGATCAGAGTCTGGAGGACAGACTTTCAGAAAGACCTTCTTTTTGAAGGGACTTCAGGAGTGGGGTGTCTTCTAGGGACCCCATCTCAGGCCAGTGGTTACAGGCAAAGAAAGACCAGGATAACGGGAGACTCACCAGCGTGATGTCCCAGGAAATCCCTAGAGGGATGATGGACATAGTCTCAGGAGGGCCAGCCAGGAGACACAGGAGGGAGAAAGGGAGGGTGCCCTGTAGGGGGTGTCTAGGAGAACTTTGGATTTCAGCAGACTGTTGCCCTGGCCAGAAACCACAGCCCCGGGGCCTTAATGAGGATCTTTAATCTTCTCAAGGCACAAAAATGGCGTTTTTATAACTCAGTCTGCCTATGGGAAAGCTCGGCTTCCACGGGTCACTCTGGAATCTTGAACAGGTCTTGTGAGGAGATTGTTCACGCTTGGTCAGTGTGACTGGGTCGCCCCAGAGTGTGGGATCCCACCACTCTGTCCTCAGCTTTCTTTTCTCCATCTTTGGCTGTTTTCTTGTGGTCTCCTTAGCGCTCTCATCCTGAGCAAGCGTCTGTATGTTTCGTCTGGGCACTCTGGGGTCTGACTTCAGACAGTTGTCTTTGGTTGACAGCTCTAAGGCCTGGGCCTTTTTCTTGTCCGGCAGACTTGCTCCTCCCCC